AATGTCTGTGTGTTAATGTCTGTGTGTTAATGTCTGTGTGTTAATGTGTGAGGAGCGGCAGTGTTGCGGTTAGTGCGCTGCGACCCGAGTTCGATTCCCACTCACGGCCAGCACCAGTGACTTAATTATCTGAACCGCTCCTGGGCCTCAACTGAGGTCGACAGCCTCAAATGAATTTCCCAGTGCGGGTGTGTTAACATCGCCACTGGGGAGACAAAGGCGGCCGGGCGTGGTGCTGGCCCACCCACCCCTTCGTGTGCCGTGCCGGCCTTCATAAGGTGCTCGCAAACAGCACTTGCCCCAACAGTCTGTTAAGGCTATACGGGGGGATTTTTGTCTTTGTGTGTGTGGCGTGTGTGAATGTGGGGAGCACATTGAACCGTGCACTGTGCGACGAACCCTGTGACTCGAGCTTGATACCGCCAGTGATGAGCGGTTTGAGAATGTTCTCAGAGCCCCTTCGAGGTCAACTCAGCCTTTAATGGGTACTGTTGCAGTGTGTGCGTACGAAACCTGCAATTAATAGATTTGGAGGCATGGATTGGTGGGTCAAAACGAGCAAGCACTCTGGGAGGCGATATGGCCAACAGAAGACATTACAGCGAATCTATCTGTGATGAGCTTTGAGTGTGTTTTTTTTAATCAGGATACTGCCATGTCCTACCATGTGTGCCAAATACTCTTTAATATATGTGCTCGGAGTCCGTATGGATTTTTTTCTGGGAACACTGCCTCTTCTGCATAGATCTTTGTGATCATTTGCATCGGCAGCAGCAGAAGCAACATCAACAGCACGTAATCATCAGCACCCATTTATCATCATCAATTATACTATCACCATCTTTATGTAACATCATCGTTTACTATTATATCAGTAAAATTATCACCGTTGGCTACGTACGGTGCGAAAGAGGTTCAACATAATCATCATTTACCATTATCATCATAATCTATGCATACCATTATCATCGATGGCTTCATCATCTTTCCAAACCAAAACAAACATTTTCCAAACAAATTCAGAATACGCAAACAAACATGCTGAATAAAATAACCAACAAGAATGATTATTACGATGCTTGTTTACCCAGGAAAGCATCACCGGACGGTCCTGCCAAGATCTCACAGCAGGGGGCGATGCTGCTGCTGTGTGTATTCCCAATTGAGTAAATAGCAGGTGATCTTTTAGCATGGGAATGTGGCCAATGCCAGTTACATTGCGTGTGTGTTTTTACAATGGGAGGATACTGGAGAACTTAGAGGCAATCCATGCAGAACAGGGGGAGAACACTCTGGACAGAAAGGTGCCAAAATCAGTAACTGAACCGAGGCAATTCAATTGCGGAATGCTTCCAAATGCAGACTCTTTCAGATTTTTATGCGGAACCGGCTTTCATTTTGCTTCGAAGTTGTGCAATGACGGCCGAATTAGCGGCATGAATTAGGCCCCGAGTGTGGAATGTTGACACATATTTAGTGTTTACACTGCATTCGCCATTGCTTCCAGATGGTTTGTGCCGTTCTGGGATGCCACGAAAAATGATCTCAGAGCGTTAATGCTGGATTGTGGTGAGCCTGCAGCTGCGACGCTTCATCATCTGGGCCACCCAAAAGCATAACGATTTTTTGAATTCGGACATCAATCACTCATATTCATTAGCCGCATGGGTGGCTTAACATGTAGTCTATTATAGATATATATTCATGAAATGATTTCGACTGTAACGAGCCATTTTCTGAATTTCGCGGAGATTTATTTGACATTCTGGCTCTAAAAAAAGTTGAATCAAAGATATTGTTATTGCTGGATCTAATTATTTCCATCACACTCTATTAACTTACAGTAGAAAATACTATCGCATTACAACTTGACATTTTAATTTCACGTATTATACTGGTTTATATAAATCAGCCAGATTCATTAATTAAACGTTCATCTTTCAGTTTCAACGTGTCACATTTTCCAAACAAATCACTCTGTGATACATTATTAATCACATCACATGTATTATGTGGCCATGTACGGTTATGGCATTTTCATTTTAGAGCGTTATAAAATGTTCAGTTACCCATTAATACTCGTTTACACTGGTTGACTTCCTCTCTATGCATATCGTTGTTATTATTACTATGCTTGTTTATTCGGGAAAACCTCACCGAGTCACAAGACTTTTTTTAGGAGTATTACTATGTGTAATCCGAATTGAGTAATTTGAGTAATTTGCAGGTACATTTTCAGCATTGGTATTTTTCTCCAATACCAGATACAGTGTAGGGTTTTGGCTATCGGAGTTAACCAGAGGACTCGGCGGAAACCCATGCTGAACAGGGGGAGAACATTCTCACTCCACGCAGACAGGCGCCTGAAGTCTGAATCTAAACCAGTTCCTTCTTGCTGTGGTGGCCCAAGTGTCACAGATGCGCCACCCTGCCATCCATAACACATCCGGAAGCTAATCTACAAGTACAACGCTAATGGGTCTTGCGCTCCATGTGCCACTTCAGGTACTCCTCTACTTACGAACATTCGACTTACGAACTTTCAGAGGCACGGACAAATCTGTCTGAATGTCTAGTCGCCTGTTCGGACCGAGAGTCTGTAAGTTCAACCGCCGCGCAATAGATGGCGGTGGTGGCATCTACATCTGCAGAACATGAAGAACCGGTGACATCTACATCTACAGGACATTATACAACTTTTAATGCCATTCCCCGTGTTTAGTGTACACGACGTCACAACATGTTTGGAATCGACAGGAGAAAGACTTACGAACAGACCCCTGGAACCTAACTTTTTCGTGATTCGAGGAGTCCCTGTACTCAGCTTTGTTCTACCACAGCTGGGTATAGGTCATCAATACCACTCCCTCCTGGAGCTTATCCTGAATACATACTTGGTAGGGGTGAGTTTCAAATTTCAAATGTAACATTGCAGATGTTTGGATGTTAAGTACAACTTTTTATCTCTTCGGGATCTTTGGATCATATACATTTTGCATTGATTGAAAAAAAATATGTCTTAAATCTAACAAGAGTGATATCATCCGATGCCATGCGACAGCACTTTTGGTGGAGAGAGCACGCAAGTGGCATCTTTAAAGTGATGTTACTTCGTGCGACATCGTGTTTCAGGACGAATCGTTCTTGATTACAAACAAAAACGTCTTTTTAGCTGGCTGAATTCTTGGCCGCCTGGCTGGATTCCTGTCCTGGCTGGCTGTCTGGCACACAAGTGCGCGGCAGTGACGTAATCGCGCACGTCTGCGCAATGACATCACCGCATCCCACGTCGCTGACAAACAAAAACGTCTTTTTAGCTGGCTGAATTCTTGGCCGCCTGGCTGGATTCCTGTCCTGGCTGGCTGTCTGGCACACAAGTGCGCGGCAGTGACGTAATCGCGCACGTCTGCGCGATGACATCACCGCATCCCACGTCGCTGACAAACAAAAACGTCTTTTTAGCTGGCTGAATTCTTGGCCGCCTGGCTGGATTCCTGTCCTGGCTGGCTGTCTGGCACACAAGTGCGCGGCAGTGACGTAATCGCGCACGTCTGCGCAATGACATCACCGCATCCCACGTCGCTGAGTCGGGGTTTGTGCGCCGCGCTGGCGTCACGACATTGCCCCCCCCCACCCCGCTTACGCCCTCCACCCTGGCGGTGTAGAGGAAGAGGAGGGAGATAGCTGAGGGAGGAAAAGATTGAGAGGTATGGAGGGGGAGAGGGGCAGGGAGGGAGTGAAAGGGCGCGACACGGAGAGGAAGGAGAGGCACACGGAAAGAGGAGAGCGGGGTAACGTGACAGAGCGGTGGGAGAGAGGATTAGGGAGAGGCAAGAGAGATTGGAGGCGGGAAAGGGGAGAGGTGTGAATAATGAGAGGTGAGAGTGAGAGAGAGAGGAACAGGGAGAGAGGTAGGGGGGAGGGAAGTGGGTTGAGATACAGTGGAGGGAGGCGAAGGGAACAGGAGAATTGTGAAACAAATAAAAACGGAGATAAAGCGAGACATCGAGACAAATTGGGATAGACAGCACTGAGAAGGCAAGGGAAGGGTGGAGACAGGGCTGTATGTCAGATAAAAGTTTTTGCTGGTTGGAAGGAACGGATAGACGGCCACGTCCAAAGGGCATGCAGGTCGCTCGTCTAAATTGCTTTCCAATTGTGCAAGAATGTATATCTGTGCTCAAATTTAATTTTGTTTCCAATTCATCCAAAAATTGAGAACATATCCCAAATACAAAGTGAGCGAATGCCATTGCAACCTGACCTGGCCCAGGAGAGAGCATGTCTCTGTGAAGAAAGCATTGGTAATTTCTCATTACAATAAGTTGGGACACACCTGCCTACATTTTTTATATTATACACAAACTCATTATTTTTTCATACTCTTTGGGTCTTTCGGTAAAGTCACGTAGATAGAAAAATAATAAAATTAAATATTTATTGTTGTGTATCATCATGGGTAAAATCATGGATAATGTCTCCATATATATGTACACAAAATTGTCCATCATCCTATTGGCTTTGAAGACTCATATAATCCAGCAGCATTAATTTTGTTTAAGCAGGCAAGCTCGTTTCGACATTCTGGAGCACATCAGCTTGTCAAATAAACACCACTGGGTTACCAGATGTTATTGAGATGTTTCAACTACTGAAGAATAGAAAAATCTCGTTGAAATATAGAAACGGTACATATATAGAGGCTGATGTGTTTCAACTTGTCATGAGTGTTCATATTTCTTGCTGCCTCACTTGTGTTAATTGGTCATATCTGCCTTGGCAGGGGAGTTGAACAGGGATCAAACGGACATTTCGATTGTTGGATTATGTTTACTATTAAAACTTTTTATATATTTTAAATTTTACTCGGCGAGGCCCCCTGAGCTATATAGCTCTTTTTCAGAAGCAACCTGGCCATAAATGATAGCTCAACGAAGTGGCTTATCATGTGGAAATGTATAGCAACCAAATACTCTAAACGTATGCATCTAAAAGTGAATGCAAAAACCAGAGGACCCGGAGCAAAATCCACACGACAACGGGGGGAACATGTTAACTCCAAATATATAGTAGGCGTCAGGGTCGGGATCGAACCCACGACCTCCTGTATACCGGGCGAGGTAGTTAACATCTCACTACCGTGAAGATCAAAGCTGTTGATGCCACCCTACCTCGTTGACTCTTTCGACCATCTGCCAGACCATCCCAGAGCTACTGCACAAGTCCCGTGACATCAAAAGATATGTCCTAAAAGTATCCCACCATTTGGTGGGGGCTTCAACCCACGACCTCCTGTATACCAGGCAAGGTAGTGAACATCTCACCACCGTGCATGCGTAAATAAACACAAGAAGTGTGTCACTTAAGCACAAACAACTGTATGTGCTCTCACGGACCTGAAACTCCAAATCCCCTTTCCATTTTCTGTGCTTTTTGTTTGGCTGATAGGCTCACATGATGCACACTGGCGGCAGATTAATGGACCAATAACACACTGCAGAGGACCTCTGCTGTTTATTTCCTAAGCAGAGAGATCTGTTTATTGTGATTGCCAGCCAGGAGCTGTTTTTAGGTTGACGGAGCAAGTGGCCTAATTGTTATTTATTACTGCATAGAACTTGAAAGCGTAGATAAAACAGAACATGGCCAGCCCACGCTAGCCAGATGCAAGACATCTGGTTAACGTGGCAGAATAGGCCAATTTATCGAGAGGCTTTCGAAAGCTCCCTCTCGTGGAGGCCCTTCCACCAAAAGTGGCTTACGAAGTAAGTAAAGTTAATTGCAGTGCTGCAACTCTACCTTTTACAAATATTGCATATGCATAATCATAATGTAGAGGGCCCATCTAGGGTGTGGGCATTCATGTAGGCAATGAGGAGTACTGCATATAGACATGCTGATCATTAACGTTTTATGAGCACAAATCACATTTCCCAAGCAAATCATCCACTGTTTTCTAAGAAGTGAGATGGACAGAGATACAAAAATCTGTAACTTCCAAGAAAAATCCCAACAGCATGAAATTGTTCTCTTCAGCAAAAATATAGTTTTCACCAACACGAGGATGTGTAGTTTTGCAACAAGAATGATGAATATATATTTTTTAAACTGACTGCGCAACTGCTCATTACTAGTACGTCGCTGCCCCAATTGGCTGTTTAGAAACTTCATCACGTGGTATCCGAAACTTTGCTCAGGGTTTAAAATGCCATTTATACAGAGGCTGGCCCAGCCAGGCAGATATATGATGTTTACATTTTCAGTGGAGAAAGACCGAGAGGTGGTAGGGGAGTTCATAATCGCTCGCAGCTGTTTTGTTGTGATCGCAAACATAACTGGATATGTTTTCTAATAAAAAAAAACCTACTTGTGAAATTTTTCACTTGAGGTTAGAAACGTATCTACTTTAGTGTTACACGGATATTACCATTCATTTTAACCAGTCATATTAAATCAGACGTAAAAAAAAAACACAGAAGGTGGCCTCCGATGATTTTGATTTGATATCTCACAACGGTCACTCTTGGGCAGTGCTTGTTTTTCTATCGTCCTGCAAACTGCAGTCGGCGAGCAAAGGCCACACAAGCGCACACAGCTCCGTGCATGGGGGCGAGCGGCAGTCTTGGAGTCGTCATGATAAGTCAGCATTCCAGCCCTGCAGCCGGGTCCTCTCTGATGCGCCTGATGCGCCTGCTGTTGCTCCTGCGCCAAGCCTGGGCGGCGGTGGCGGTGGCGACCCCGTCGGACCTCCGGCAGAAGGCGCCCGGTGCCCTGTGCACCCATACGTTCGTCCTCCCGGAGGTCGTGACGTGCGGCCGCGCCGGAGACGCCGGCACCGATCCCGGCTGGCTCGGCCGGGACACTCTCCCGTTCCCGCAGGAGACGCCGGTGGTGCGCGCGCTTCAGCGGCTGGAGAGAGCCGTGGAGGAGAACACCCATGCCCTGCAGGAGGTGAGACCCACCCAACCCCACCACCCGCCCAGCGTCCACTCTCTGGTCTCCTCCGCCGTGTTCGTCGCGCGAATGTTGCCTGTACGGTACGTTGAACTTCGTTCGCACCGTACGTAGCCAACCATGCTAATCGGACTTGCGGGGGAAGGACAATAAACTTAACACAAAAAGCAGGTCTACATTAATGAGCTTTTAATCGATATTTAAAAGTGCACAGGTCCAGTGGCTTCCTAATATCGGAAGAAAGAGCGTTCCAGACGGCTGCTGGTGCTGCTGAATGCGTTGTTCTAAGGACAACGCACGTGTCGAGTCTGCTTTACATCTGGTGGTTTGATGACCCATGTATGTGTTTACAGTGTATAAACATCACAGCCGTAGGTTTAACATGGAGGCTCTCGCGACCAACATCATCCATAATACATAAATTAAGTTTTCAATCGAGATTTAACAGCGTGCAGCTTAAGCGACTTCCTAATATCCAAATATTTGTTTATACCCACGGCCTGGGCTGTAATAACGGAGGGGGTTCCTAAAACTATAGTCGCCACAAGCCCCCCTCAAACTTAATCTGGCCCTTCACATGGCCATTTAATGGCCGTGATACATTGTAAATGGCCATGTTAAATGCATGATTCGGTACAGGTACCAGCAAAAGATGGTGATGTGCTTGTTTGTTTTCATTGTATTACGTTATTTATTAGATTGCATTTCAATGAGATGGTGCTTTTTGAGTTGCGATAATGACGCTGTATACATTACATTGTTTAATCGAGCAAAGCTGGATAAAACGTTATTGTTAGCAATTTTTCCAAAAATGTACAGTGTCGGATTTAATAGTAGCAATTCTAAGTGTGCAAATAAAAATTATATATTCCACGTGTTTGAAACATGTGCTGATGTACTTAACATTCGTAAAAGACCACATGTTCTATTGAATAGACTCTACACATTTGTGCCAACTGTAAGTTACGTCAGTCAATTGCAACATGGCAGTTATACATCAAATAACTTGATTTAAAATGAGCACTTAAAACCTATTCTTGGTTCTTTCGGTAAAGTCACGTAGAAGGAAAACAATAAAGTAATAAAAATATAAAACAATAAAATTGTGACTTTACCGAAAGAACCAAGAATATGAATCCCTGCAGTCACGAAAGCTTTAAATCAACACTTAAAACATGTTAAGGCCACTAAGCCACATTTCTCTCTTGAAATTTTCTTTTTCCAGATTTACCTTCTTGTTTTAAATTTGATAGTTTAATATCAGCAACAGGTTCGCAAAGGTAATAGGCAACTTTGCGTGAGCTGGAAAACTTTGAAATACATTGGCCTGCATAAAATGAGCCAGGTTTCAGGTAATAAAAGCTATATTGTTTCAAACAGACCTGCGATCAATACATGCAGACAGGATTCCATTTGAGCTGTACGCTGAAGAGTAACAAGTAATGAAAAACTAAGAATAAGTTTTACCCTTTCTGGCAATGAAACAAGAGGTGTTAAGATGTTCAAACACCAAATAGAAAGGTTCTTCAAGGAATCGAAGTCTGCATTAACCACACAAAGTACTTGTGGTGAACATGCAAACTTAACACGCTCTTGTAATATATGGGCATTGTTTTTAAAACCGATTGGTCTACACCAGAGACCGCCTTCTTTAGGGTCTAGTCTCACCAGTGTCAGACCAGAGAATGCCAAAAAGCGAACAGTACAAATACAATGCCACTATCAGAGCAGCCAGAAAATGGGACCTTTTTTTTTTTTTACAAATATCAAAGCATGAAAAAATAAGAATAGGATTGACCCTTTCTGGCAATTAAACAGGAGGCGTTAAGACGTTCAAACGCCAAACAGAAACCTTTTGCAAAGGAATAATTCCTGGCAAGAAGGTCCCATTTAGTAACAAATCAGTGAGTGTCTCTCTGAGAACCGCTCCTCTGATTGGGAAAGCAGATTAAATGGGAACTGCAAGGGAGCGCATCAATCAGCGGGCTGTATTTGCTGCTGGCATGTAACCACTCTCTCAGACCTCTCTTCTGTTTACCACATATACGTATCTAAACGTGACGATATGTATTGCTTCTGCACAAAGCATATGAATCATAGCGAACGTATTGTTTTATAGGTATAGTATCTGTGCCGCTGATGCAGCGGCTAGTACATTGCACTACGTACCCAACTACCCGATTTTAATCCTTGGCTATGGCTACCATCAGTACCGCACCTCCGATTAGCACGGTTGGCTACATACGCTGCGAAAGAAGCTCCACATGCATACATCAGTTGCGATTAATATCACCAGCGAAACGTCGTGCTCAGATTGTAAATGTTGTGGGTTTACTCTTCAACACACCGTTGTGCTGAAGTAGTAACCAATTGGGATGTCTTGTTTACGTGACAAACCTCACTAATTGGCTGTGTCGGGTGGTGGTGGGTTAACGACACATTTATATTTACGCGATAAAAACCCCCCAAAATCCCCCTTTATTATAAATTCAAGAACCCAGATTACAAAGTAGATTTTAAAAAGCGGGGCAACCCCCCCCCCCCTCCCCTCTCAGCAGGTAACGTGTAATAAACTCGGCGCAAAACACCCTCAAAATTTCGGATCGATCAGGGGCTTCTGGGGATCGCTGCCGTACCGTACTCGGGGTAATGATCGGGAGCAGTGTATTTAAGGGGGTGGGAACCTGCCGATCTCATGTTATACATCTCCTCTTAACTCCGCATCACGATTCGGACATCTATAAGAAACACAAGAACCTGCTATGTTGTCTTGTTGGAAACTCGACGTAAAGTCTCAATTCATTCTGTTGTCAGCTATTCCCAAATCTGACAAGCACTGATTGGGCACTTCCACGTAAATATTCGGACGTGAAAAAAAGTGAGCAGCTCCGGCGCGAAAATGTGTGTGGAGTACGACTGACGTCTCATTTTAAAGGACAACATTTGTTTTGCGGGCAAACGGCGCTGTTATACGTCAACTTGTTGATACATACCACATCGGTGGATGGTGATTTCTACCTTCCAGTATTTTCAAGTTCATAAAAATGAGAATTCGATCGGTTTGAGGAATAGACCAGTAATACATACAAATTGTGTAGACTTACAACATTATTGTTTCCACTCAATATCTACCGTAAAGGAGAACAAAAAAACTACGATTGTAATCACGAAATATCGCGATATTGTTTCCAAGAGCTTGTGTGTATAGAATACCTAATGTAAATATGTCGTGTGTTACTGACGCAATACATACACAACGTGGTAACGTTATACATACCTTACTGTTGGCCATATTGAATGTCATATTCTGCAGAATACATATACAGGATTTAAATGTTCTCAAGCAATATGACTGTAGTAATTGAACTAAATTAGGCAAATGTTCCCCCTTTAAAAGTCAATTAATGAAGCGTCTGGCAAAATATACGCGTAAATATTTAAAAAGCTGAACATAATTGCCTTGCAATTCGAGCTGGACTTTACAATTGTATTTCATGTTACATTATCATCGCTGGAAGCCTATACATGATGACAAAACGATAAAGCTGCAAAACTGTTTTGTTCAAATGTCTTGCCAAAGCTGATGCATATATGCATTATATTATACACCAGGACATGGATTGTGTTTGGTTGTTGAAGAATGTTGTCAAATGGAGGTAATGCAATGCTGCGAAATGTCAAATGTTGTTTATCTTTTTGTCATTGTCTCCATAAGCAAAGGCATTTTACGGTACTATCTCTCACTGGTCGAGTCTCGTCTGAACGTCAATATAAATATGTATATATTTCCATCCACATTAAAAAATATATAATAATGACTTCAAAATTCATGGTGTAACCATTTCCCCTCCGGCACTTCAATGAATTGTGTTTAATCAGGTTCACAGTTTGTTTAAATTATCAATAGTTATTTTAACATCGTAGTGAATGTCATGGCCTCTCGTAGCTTGATGGGTCACATTAACTCATTCGATTTGGTATGTACAAATAAAAAAGTATCAATTACAAACGCATGTGATTCATTATTACACCTCGACAATCCATATGCAGCTCCGAGAACGGTCGTAACAGAAAATGCAACTTACTTTGGTGGTGGAAAGTTTAATTGCCCCAATGAATCTGAATGGTCGCAGTGTCAGTTCTGATTCAGAATGGAATCCTTCACTGAATTCCCACACTGGTACCAAAACTATAAGCGCCAACATCTGTCGAATGTGATCTGAGAACGGCTAAAAAGAGGCGAGAACACAGACCCGTGATCTATTTATTTAACAAGTAATTGGCATATGCGTGTGTATGCGTGTCGATGTATGAAATCACCATTGCAAAAAAATAACGTGTAATGTGCTACGTGCAACACGAAGCTTGAGCCCATCACAACTTGGCTGCATGTGACAATCTCTCACGTGTTTTGCTTGTTTATCTCAAGCCTACAACGTATGACCTCAGAGGTGTTCGCCCTGCCGGAGGAAGCCAATGAGCCACCAGAGCCAAGCACGCTTCTAGTGTCCTGTACGTGACTCTGCGACGGCACAATGTTTCCAGCTCGAGAGCCGCACGGCCGGCCGCGCCAGGGAGGAGGTGCTGCAGGTTCAGCAACGCGCCGTGCAGAACTGCACCACGGCCATCGTGGAGCTTGGCAGCCGGCTCCTCGGTCAGAACGCGCAGCAAGCCGCCAAGGTGGCTGCGTTACAGCACCAGGTGAAGGGATGGTGGAGGAATTATTGTAGTGGCCAGCCAGCACCTGGAGTGTAACTAGTGTGGGGCAGGGGGTACCTTGGCCTCACTGGTGGTCAAAGCTACGAGTTGGGGCCCTCTTGACGACCACCATGAGATGTGTTTTCACTAGCGGTGTAAAATAACAAAAACGTATGTAATTACGTGAAATACAGAGTGCTTCAAAAAAATGTCAACACTTCTGAGTATTGTTTTTTTCAAATAATCCCATCTAAGTGTAAACATTATTTTTTAAACACCCTGTATAGCCCAGATTCGACCGTACGATACATCAAATAGTGGGGCTCCACCTGGTCGATTGTCGCACCCCCTGAGTGGATAATGTAGCTACTACGCCACTGTCCCGCACTGACCAGCATAGTGAAGTGTAGTCACAGGGCCAGCATGAGAGATGTGGCGTGAGAATACTTTCATTCGACAGTGGATTGAATGAAGAGGTAAAGGGGAAGCCATGCAATGGTCTAGCTCACGCCACTGCTGGCAGAAGGGCTCCCACTATGGGGAGCTCTCGAGCTAGTCACGCACAGGGTATTTTGGCCTCGTCTTCCGCGCCGGGTCAGACGTCTCGGAAGAGGTGGGACGTACCGACGCTTCACCCCACCGCTTAACTCGTCATTCGTACTTCTGGGAGATGATTAAAGGTGAGGAGTGGGATTTAAGAGAGACTTCCCTCTAGTTTCAACTGCCACGTCAGGAGATCGAACCAGTGACCTCTGTATTGCAGAACCAGTGACCTCTGGATTGCAGAACCAGTGACCTCTGGATTGCAGAACCAGTGACCTCTGGATTGTAAATCAAGTGTGCTGATCTTTAGACCGGGGCATGCATTCAATAAAGGGGTGGTAAAGAATTTTGTTTAACCAAAAAAATCATTGCAATGTTCTGTTTACTGAAACTCCTTTTACTGGGTATCAATCGAGAATCAGAATTCTGCGAATGTGCCCCGACCCATGCCGTGAGTGAAATAAAAACAAGTTATTGAGAATGTGCTGCTTAATAATCAAAGGCGACCGCTAGTGGTTTAGATTGTAGATAACTCGTGATGGATTACTGGGCTCCCTTAAGTTGGGGTATGTGTGTGGTTAAAGAGGTCATGGGGTCAACACAGACACCATTCCACTTCCCTGTATTGTAAACATGGGTCAATAAACAATGCATCTGCTTCTGTCCACTGGTCCAACCGTTCATTGCCTAGGATAGTGTTCTGACAGTAACCGACAATGATGTATGTATGATGTACGTATGCTGAACTTCTTTCACACCGTACGTAGCCAACCGTGCTAATCAGAGGTGCGGGAAATATCGTTGTATAGGGATTTTGTTCAGTATAATAATATTAATAATATTAGCGCAAGTAAAATAGGCATCATGTGAAAACTTGTAAATCTCATTCTCATGGGGGTAGTAAGTGCATATGAGGAGGTGTGGTAGATAGCTCACAAGTTACGCTTTTGGTTTCCCCCGCGACGAGGGCTTTAGTCGCGGGCTCGTTGTGTCATGCCTCGCAGGTCTCGAGCCACGCTTCAAGGCTGCAGGAGCGGCTCTTGGAGAACTCGCTTGTCACTCAGCAAGTGGGACGAGCGCTCGGCCAGCAGGCACACGAGCTCGACAGATTACAGCGCAGGAATGGGTAAAATAAACAAATAGCCGTGAATAATGCACAACGCGGAAACGGATTGGAAAGAGTATGCGAATGCGTCTGTACGTATTTATGTATTTGTTTACATGAATGTGTATGACAGAAATTGTAATTCGATGACAGTACATATTTCAAGGGGAGTGGTAGTGTGATGGTTTTCACACTACCTACAGGGTGATCCATATAGATATCTCGCTGGGTTTTAAATAGCCCGCTTACTTTCCTATCAATAGGTGACTTATGTGAAATCCATGGCTCCATATCTTGCAGAGGAAACGTTTTTCTTACAGATTTCGTAGGTGCATTGGTTGGAGATGTGTAGCAGCTTTCAGATAAAACACTCTTTTCTCTGTAATTTCTCCCAATTAATTATTTTAGTGAGGTATTTATAAACACGTCTCCGTGTATTATGCCATCAAGCTGAATATGATTCCCAGTGATAACGAGCAGAAATATACCTCAAATGTATTTATATAATACTTTAACTTGGGCTGGATCCCACTCAGGCAACTCAGCCCCAATGACTGCTTGCTAATGGTGCATAGCTGGGCTGGACGGACACAGTGCTGTCCTCATTAGCCCACACTGCAGCACGCTGCTCATTAAAGGTACTCGCCAACAGTATTTGCGGTAACAAATTGTTCAACCTTGTCAGCGCGTATTTCGCAAAGGATGTGAACAGCCTTTTGATAGGGCTGACAGCTGGGCTATTGGTCAGCGCGCTCCGCTGCAAATCTTGGAACCTAAGTTCGATTCTCGGCCACGGATAACATCAGTGGCAAGTGATGTCTCGCGCTTCTTCACGACCCGCGGCGATCAGTATGGTGAAGTCCTCGATGGCCAAACATCTCTCATGGCCTGAGAGGCTATGCAGAGGACCCTCATCCAGCAGTGGATTGACAATGGCCTTTCCGATATTAGGAAGGCACTGGCGCTATGCATTTTCAAATCTAGACTGGAAATCAATTTATTTCGAACTGCTTTTTGGTGGTTAGTTTGTTGTCCTTCCCCCGCACCTCCGATTAGCACGGGTGGCTATGTATGGTGCGAAAGAAGTTCAACATGCATAAGTGTACGTGTACACTATGACCGTGGTCCTCAACCTTGTTTGGCTACTGTACCCCTTGTTGAATTCTGTTTCAAACGAGTAGCCTGACCTAATATGGTTCTGAAAAATAAATGTACGAGTAACGATCGTAGATATTTTAACCAGTTGTCTATTTTGTGGGGTTATCCTAACTAGCTGGTGCCTGCATCCGAAAAAAAACAAACAAACGGAAGCTCTGCATGTGTGACTTAATTTATTTGTGCTCGCTGGTTACTTTTTCGAAACCGCATTGTTTACGTTTAACGAGTTTAGAAAGGTATTTTATATTGTTCTAGGTTACCATACGGATTAATATTCCATTGTAGTTATTTTCTATTGGCACATTCATGCACAATTATTCACCAAACGACCGTCATGCATGATGTAATTTCACACATTGCCACCCCTCGGTTGAGAACTACCGCTGAGGCCACGTTTGAAGATGACCTTCGAGTTGGCAGTTTGCGGCGAGGGACTTTGCCCCTTGCTTCCCACGCAGCGAGCTGGACGCGGCAGCGGCGACCCTGGAGCGGAGGCGGGAGGAGCGGCTGGCCGGCGCGCACCAGGAGCGGCGCCGCGTGCGAGGGCTCCTCTCGGGGCAGGGCACCCGCCTGGCGGAGCTGGCGCGCCGGCTGGACGAGACGGGCGCCGGGCACGGCCGACTGCTGCGGCAGCACGCGCAGCTGGAGCGTGGCGTCCGCGTGGCACAAGCGCTCCTCCTTCTCCTCCTCAGGAGCGGAGGTCCTCCCGTTCACGTTCACCCGCATAAGGAGCGCAGCTCACTTGAGCCTTCGACCGTGGGCTGTGGCCGTGCGTGACCGTGCGAGCGCGCCGCTCTCGTGCAATGCTCCTCCTCCCGGGTTTTATTGCGCTGTCCAGAAGGCCCCAATTTTTTTTTTGGCTCTCCGAAGGTGGGTTTCGGCTTGTGCCCACGCGTGTTGTTTGGGCCTAGGCTGTCTGACATTGGGCTCAAAGTGCTGGGAGCTTCTTCCCGAAGAAGAATAAGGAGAAGCGTACGCCAGCACGCGAAAGTGAAATGTCAGACATCGTGCCAAATAGCAGCCGGTAAAACCCATAGATACAACGGGGAGCGCTGCAGCACAACAGCGAAAACCAATGCAATTGTAACGGACGAGCGTATTTGATATTGAAAAACACAACAGCAATGCGTGCACCGTCTGCTTTCCTGGTGAGCAAGGACATAGGTCCGTGCTCCCGTTTCTTCTCGCGTGTTGCTGGGTTCTTCCCGTGCCATGTTCTTTCCCTCGTGTTCGCGCGAATCATTAGTTACGTGACTATACTGGCAACCTGAAGATCACCTTGCAAGGGAACAGAGTGTGGTCCTTGCAATGTGCATGATGTTGTTGTGCACTGTAGAGCCACGGGCGTCACATTTTGCTTTCAGGGCACATCGTCAGCTTAACTCACACACGAACATTGGACGTTTTTTTTTCCTCATCGAAAATGAAACATTATAAGCAAGAACATTTTGATTGACGAAAACAAATTCTCCCACTGGTCAACTCGCCGTCTTCACAGTATTTGTATTCAATGGCTTAGTGTTTTGCCAATGAAGATGTGTTATATAAGCTATCTATACGACGAATTCAGCAAAATACATATGTAAACAGATGTGTGCGTGTGTTGCAACACACACACTCACACTTGCTTATTATAGATTGGAATTTACGATGACTCTTGGCCTAGCCTGTCAACCCACCAGCAAGGGTTTCAGGTGACCTAGAACAGGAAATTTCTTTAGGGTGCCTTGTTTGTAGATGTTGGGCTGTTTAATGTCTCACCGGTCCAGTCGCCTGACGTGGCCTCTTTATAGAGGGAGCCCTCTTTGGGTTAAATGCCTCGCTCAGTTCTGTGCCTTTATAATGGAGGTTGTTTTGGTCTCTTTGGCATAAACATAAATGTGTGATTAACCCGACACAGCCAATTAGTAAAGTTTGTAACGTAAACAAAACATACCAATTGGTTACTACTTCAGCACACCGGTGTGTAGGAGAGTAAACTCACAACATTTACAATTTGAGCACGATGTTTTGCTGGTGTTTACAACCAGCTTCATCAGGCGATTTGCCTCAAGTAGTAACTAATTGGCACGTTTTGTTTACGTGAAAAAGCCTTACTAAAGCAATAATTTTACAATTTGAAAAATGCCTTTTAAAGTTATCAGCGTGTAAGGCAGATAATATAGTTACATTAGTAAATAATACACGTCCAAATATGTCAGTTATGAAGCAATCTTCTACTCGAAAATAATTACACAGTATTTTTGACAAATAAGACATGTGTACGTGCATGGAAAAAATAGCAACATCAACAAGTTTCGATGCTCTCAGGAAATCAAGCGATTATTCATATTTGGCAGTCCTAACCTTCTGTAAAATGTTCACGTTTTACACAAAATCGGTTATAACGACTTTTCATTCACAAATGCAGTGCTATAGCCTAACCTGATATTGGCAGCACGCTGGTAGAACAAAAATATGCTTCTGCATAAGCTTCCACAAAGGGGGAAGGAGCACAATTAGGCAATGTTTTCTGTACAGCTGCCTTTCTGTACGGCTGGGTTGTAAAGTGATTGGACAGACGAAGGGATAATTGGGTTACACCTTTTGCCAGTTTCTTTTGCCCTTTTCAGTGAAGAGGTAGAGCCAGCAACTCACACATCACGTGGGACTGGTGCATCTGTTCCGTATTAAACAAAACAACTCCCTGTAATGACCATGCTAAAATTCCCTCCATGTCCTATGCGGTATTGGAAGGATTTCAAAAGCCTAAAATAAATGGCTAAGCAGATGGCATGAGAGTGAATTCGAGCGCTTTGTGCGCCTTAGATTTTGCTGACATTAAACAAAATGTATTTGCTGCATGTAAAATAACAATAATTCCAAACGAAAGCAGTTTATAAATGAACAACATTTTCACGCAAGTGAATCGTAGGGTTCCCATAAGCAAAATAAAATAGGCCTCTAAGTTATTTTGAGTTTGTTACATTTGAAAGTGTCCGATACATGTTACATGTTGTTTATAGTGCCTTGTTCAGTCAATGTATTTTCTTTCACAGATTTTGAGTGAAACACATGTGTACGATAATAATCCAATTTTGTATTCACATAAGCTGATAATGTTAAAGTAAAACCAATGATTTATCACGTGTCAAATTATATGCAGCACATTAAAGATTTAACTCATCTTTAGTCAAATCTTATTTGAAAAATACTTGTATTTAATGTGTCACTATGAAAAAAAAAACCTCATCGTTCATTTATATATATCAGCAGAGAGCTAATCAGCCAGGTGGTGACGGTAAAGCGTGCAACTCGCAGCAATTGGCAGGTTGCGAGTTCAAATCCTGGTCGGGAGTTACTGCAGTCCATCATCCCACTGGGGTCAATAAAGTGGGGAACCCTTTTCGTGGTGAAGTCAACAGTGGTTGTTCTACGGATAGACTCGCCCACCACCGCAGGGACGGTAAATTTCCACCACTTGTTCAGGGCTGCAAAGAGCAGATGAGCAACCGCCTAAATGCTCAGGAAATTACTTGAACAGTTTTTTTTGCAAGTCTCATAACAACATTCACCGTTATAAATCACTCAATCTAACTGATATTGAAAAGCGCCTACATGAAGACTAATGTGTAATGCGTGTTTGGCGATATTACGTCGCCAGCATGCCATTTCTCATTAGTCTGTTTCGCAGATCGCGGTGCCTGTCATCTCGTGTCCGTCTAACGAGGGCACCGCACTTCTGCAGGCAACGAGCCCCGGGCCGGTGATTGCGGAGAGATTCTTCGCTCGGGAGGCACGGTCAGCGGAGTGTACACCATCCGGGTGGCCAACGCCAGCCGTCCTGTGAAGGTTTGTGAGGAGATCAAAAAAAATAATGTCTTGAATGATAAAAAAATAAAATAATAAAATCTGGAACAGAAAATGACATATTCCAAACCCGTTGCTAAAAGACATCTCTGTCACTGGGGGCAATTGCACACTCGGGTAATTGCACAGCCCATTTCCACACGAAGGGATTCATCGTAACCGCATCCACGTTAGCGAACGGAACAGTTCTATAATTGGACTGGTGGAGCATGATTTCCTCTTTGACTACTGTACAGGGTGCTTCAATTTTTGTTTTACACTTATAAGGGACTATCGTTTTCTTTAATTGAAAAAGGACGGATAATACACTGTAACATGATAACAAATGTCATGTTAATATCTTCAAAAAGTCAACGAGTCTCCACTTGTTCGCCATCGTTGTCAACACGTGGCCTGGAATCTTCTCCAGGTGATCTCCAGAGCCCGGAGGCAGCAGCGCATGTCACGTGGCCTTGTTACAAATTCTCCAAAGTGTTCACATTTTTTTGAAGCACCCTGTATATACTCTGATTTTTTCGGTAAAGTCACGTAGATAGAAAAAAAAAGAAATACATATCACGACATTTCGATCGCAACACAAAGCGGTCGTCCTCAGGCAGAAAAAAAGAATCCAGCAGTGGAACTGGCTGAGGACGACCGCTTGTGTTGCGATCGAAACGTCGTGATATATTATTTTTTTATTTTATTTTTCGACCTACGTGACTTTACCGAAAGAACCAAAGAGTATGGATTCCTGCAGTCACGAAAGCTTCAAATCAACCCTGTATATATACACATATATATTACTTTCATCCCTCATACCAGAAACTGCTGCTAAAGCACTGGCCAGTGGAGAGTTACTTAGCAGCGCACTCTCGGCGGGAGTGTTCACCCGGTGTTTGATTTTCGCCGATGCGAATTGCACAAAGCTTCCCAAAGCACAAAAGCTGGCCACTGTACAAATGCAGGGCCGTCTAACAATAGTTTCAGAGCGAATCCGATGGGAGTCAAATTCCCTCGTTATGTGGTGGCACGTGGTTCTATTGTAAACAAACGAACGTGCGCAAAACAAATTTCAGTGCAGATTTCACCTGCATAAAATACATATAAATATGCACAATTTGTAAGCTGCAAGGATTATGGCTGACCACGCCACACCACACAGGGACCACACGGCTGAAATGATTGTATTTGCTCTTTAAATGCAACCAATGCATTCTATATCAGGGTAACAATGATGCTCCTCCTGATCTCATTACTTGATTATCATCCAGTGTGATTGCCCTGCTTAGAATAAAATCATACGTTTGTGCATTCCATGCATTACGATTTTTATTCATGTAAATGCAATTATGATGTGAGCTGTATAAGCATTTGCTTTGATTATATCAGTGAGTTGAAATATAGCTAATGGTTCCATATTCATGTATTTGTGTTTACCAAGGCAAAATCGTTGTTATTTATTGCTCTGCTGTTGCAATCCATGTTCTCACCCCGAAGAGATTCCTCACGATGCCTAGGGCCAAATCAACCTGATCTTGGAAGCTAATCATGCTTCAGCCTGGTCAGTACTTGACTGGGAAACTGTTTGGAATGAACAGGCATTATACGCTTGGACTGCTAGGTAGTCAGGCGACAGAAGAGGAGCAATGGATTCCTGAATCTATCTCGTATGAATGGGTCTATCTTCTGGCCACTGGCGGAGCACACGCGCCGAATAAAAAGCAAGGGACAAGTCCTTACTTACTAACAACTCCTCTATCATTTTTCATTGCTGGAGGGGTTTGCCCCCCCCCCTACCTGAAAATCCTGGCTCCGCCATTGCTTCTGGCACTCCCAGTTTTCTTCAACGTGTCAAAAACTCATTCGTGGCCGAAACTCAAGTGGACCAAGGGTCCTCTAAAAAAAACGTCAACCACGGCTTTCATGGGTTAACGACCTCATCATTATTATTGGCCGGCTAACTAGACGATTGTTGTTCTGTTGTCGGTTCTGTTGTTACTTTTGAGCATCGCCCTTACCCACTTACCCACGTGTCTCTCAGGTGTACTGCGACATGGACACGAGTGGTGGGGGGTGGACTGTGATTCAGCGCCGGCAAGATGGGTCGGTAGACTTCCACCGCTCGTGGCAAGAGTACAAACTGGTGAGAGGATACCGTTTAGATGGGAAGATGCCTAAGCAATTCGCAACCTTTCACAAAGCTCTTCAAAAATGAAATCAAACGCCTGCCTTTAGTTTTGTTCATTTGTTTCAGTTTAGCGATTTTTTTTCCTTCTTCCTCCCAGCAATTATGACGGAGAAATGTGACCTGAGATGGCCCATTTCTGAACCATCAATTATATTGAAAGCGATAATTACTGTGGCTAATAAAGCTCCTTCCCAGCAAATAAAATGAGCTTAACTGACATTGAATAAAAATGATTTTGTGTCCAACCATTTATATGTGCTGTACCAGCATGACAGAGGTCTATTTTAATTATGTTGGAGCAACTCCTGCAACTGTAATTTTTGGTTTCTTTGGCTTTGACCTTACAATCGCTTGGGTCAGTGGCTATGTACGTGGTGGCTTTTTGGGATTTATTTTGACAAGGAGAGGCTATGGAATGGATGGACCCAAAGGGTGGCGTGAAGAATGTTGGCCACAAGATCGATTGTGATCCGTGATTACGTTCGTGCAGCAGTGATGAAGCTGTACTATGCATCACATTGCTCCTCACCCCTTCTCTCAGGGTTAGGAGCAGTAGGTGGATTAGGAGCAGTATGATGCATAGTGTATTAGTGATGAAGTTGCACTGTCCATGATACTCCTCCTAACTATCCTCTCGATTATACCCCAAATATATATTTTCACCACAGCAGTTGGCAGTAATATAGACGCACACACTGTTAACAAGACTATTTCCACCATCATAATTATTCACCACTGTCATAGGACTGAATGAGTAATGTATTAATGTTTTATCCACGGGCCCCAATTCACAGCTGGTGTTAAAGTATATATATGTTTTTGATTTAGCTTATGTTACAATACATATCGCCACCTCTACACAACGACAAAAAGTGGCTGAAATCATAGCGATAAGTAGTGGCAGTAAGGCAGATGAGTAAAGGGTTCTACTGTCTGCATACACACTCAGCACGTTCATCAAAAGCACTGCCCTCAGGAACAAATATATATATTATATATAATAGGTGACATTTCAGGTAATGCTCCTCCTTCATATTTACTATTGCTGCTTCGGTGTTCAGAATTGCTTTATACAGCTCGCCTGGGTGTTTTCAGGGTGTACTCCGTGTTGTTCGGCATGATGTCTGATATTTTTCTCCACGTGCTCAAAGCTTCTTCACAAATTTAGGCTCTCTGGAACTGGATAAGAGAAATGTATTTAAAAAAAAAATAATTACTGTAATGATATTTTCTTTATCAATATTCCGTAACTTTGTCGCTGTGTAGTATGCCCCACAAATACAGTTTACTGCCTGGGTGAATTCCAGTTTCTTAATTCCTGGTTAACGTTTCTAATATATAGATGATGATAACGACATGACAGCAGTCTTTAAATATTATAAATAGTGCACACTCTATTTGGAGTATTTGTTTAACGGCTTGTTCACAAGACTGCTCGGCTTTCACGAGAGGGTCCATCTCTACGGTATTTGGCCTACTCTTCCATGCTGGCAAAACTTCTTGGAAGACATGGGAGTACCCACTCTTCATCCCACAATGCGCGATCTAACTGTTTGACTAGTTGAGTTTATTTTTTGCACGTGGATGCATTTCACACTTCTGATTTACGCTAAATGAGTAGTGATCCAATTTCAGATGCTCATTCCTAACCGTTGTTTCAAACTGCTCTGTGCTCTGTGTTGCTAACCGCGGGCCCAAAGGGCTTTGGGCTGCCGTCTGGCGAGCACTGGCTGGGTAACGAGCTGATTCACCAACTAAGCAGCAACAAACCGAGCCAGCTGAGGATCATGCTGTGGGACTGGGAAGGCCATTCTGCATATGCTCACTACAGCGACTTCCAGCTCGCCGGCGAGAGACAGAACTACAGGTGGCTATGCACAAATCCTGCGACCAAATCTTCCAGAATGCACCCAAGAGATCTCATCAGATCTTGGAAGCTAAGTCGGTTTGAGCCTGGATAAGTGTTTGGATGGGCGACCCACACCATGTGCAAAAGACAGGTGTAGTAGGTGCTGTGAGCCGGAGAGGACAGTGCAGCCAAATCCATTGCGCTACCACACCACCTTTACCAACTCGCACTCACCAACGTGGTTGAAGTCTGGCCAAATCGCTTTCACAGCTCGCAAGGCATGGTACAGCCCTTATCTAGCGGTGGAACGATAAAGAGCTCTACTTTATAAAACGTTATCTTTTTCACGTAATATTAACAATGTCATTTGTTTCTCCAAGAAAGCCTCACTGAATCTGAAGGCGATTTCTTTGGAGGGTCTTGCATTAGGATGCTCGCAAATTCGATCAATAAGTGCAACGTTTAATGTGGGAGGAAACTGGAGTATCCATATAAAACTGGCACATACAAGGAGAAAACAATCAGAGTTTGGATTCAGTGCACATGCTGTGATGTCATCCCCTGGCCACCTTGCAATACATTGGGTTTGGCTGTCTGACAATTTGTGTGATCTACCAATAAGTGACTGTTTTATGATAATAAAAGCCGATACAATTATATGGGAGATATATTGGCGATTGTACGAGATTATAATTGAAGATAAAGGACAATCTCATTTCAAGAGTGTCCTAGATTTATGTTTTTCTATCTCAGTATGCTGCCAGCTCATATTCTACGCCTTTGTAACATTTTAGTAAAATTGAACTACAGTAGTATTTTACAGCCAACACACCACAAACGAAAGCTAACACAGCAAGACTTTTGAAATGAGGGTGTCATTGGCCTAAAATACTAAAACACTGTTTTCTAAAGATTATAAGGCGCTCCATAAAGTAAGACTCAACCCAATTTTAGTTTTCCTAGCGTCAATACAGTTATACAAATCAGCTCACACACCAATACCCATACTTGCCATTCACCACGAAGTCATGGTGGCGTTACCACGGCGCCTGTGCCAGGCTAGGTGCACCTTGAGGCTACGTGAAGTGTCGAAGGCTCGCTGACAGGAGGTCACGGGACAGACCCAGGTGCCATGGGTTGGCTGACTGAGATGACTGGCTGATGCACCCAGCTGTAACCCCTACTGTGCCAACTCGCTGTATTTTATCCGCCCGGCGCTCCGCTCGTTGTTGTGAGCATCGCTCCTCTTGCCCTCCGTTGTTGTTGGAGGGCGACTGCCTCCAAATGCCCAGTAGCGTCCTTCACGAGCCTCCTCCACAGATGCCGATCTTGGTTACACACGCACACAAGAAAGACAAAGACAAAGACCCCCCATATAGCCTAAACAGACTGTTGGGGCAAGTGCTGTTAACGAGCACCTTTGAAAGCCGGCACGGCACACGAGGGGGTGGGTGGGCCAACAGCACGCCCGGCCGCCTTTGTCTCCCGAGTGGCGATATTTACACATCGCACGAGGTACTTATTTGAGGCCGAGTCGACTTAGGGGAGGCCCAAGACCGGTTCAAATAATCGTCACCAGTGTTGGCTGTGAGCGGGAATCGAATTCGGGTCGCCGGGTTTGTAGCGCTAACTGCTACACTACCGCCCCCCCCCCCACACACGCACACACAGCATGCACACGCAGAGTACCGGATTATAATCAAACGCACCCCAACATTTTACCAATAAAATACAGGGGTACAAATAAAGTGCGTCTTATAATCCGGAGCATACGCGAATCCCCATTTGTGTTTACGTCTTGGGAGCAGTTCTGTGTTTGCTGGTTACGCAGACGGGCACTACTAGGAGGATTGCATATCTGCCCCTACTCAGAGCTGCCAAAACAAATGTTTGCACATCTGGGAGCATTTACGACCACTGACCCTGACGGGCATCGGGACCCTCACAATGTACGGGGCTGCCAAGAGCCCATATGCCCGCCCATGGCAGACACACAGCTTGTCGGTAATGCGTGAAGGGGGCAATTGCCATAGCTGGTAGATTAGCTCCTACCGATGCTGCTGAGTGCTTCTGCAAGTGCAAATTGCACGAGTGAGCGTTGTGGTTTTTTATTTATATAGGTCACGTTCCCTCGTCGATATCTCAAGTTTCAGGATGCATTGTACGTGCACGCCTTCTATATCAGCGATATACATTGATGTTATCCAAGGACACCACTGAATCAGAATCTCTATTTAGACTGGAGTTGTGAAGCTATTTTCCACAGATGTCCAACTGAGCAAATTCTTCCTCCTCCTCTCCACAAAATCACAGATGGTGAGAGGCCAATCCATAGACCGTGGGAGAATCCCAGGTCAATCAGACCGACTGGATAATAATACTTGTAGAAAATAGGCCTATGGATAAAACAAATTCTGGACATCTGTGAGAACTACTGGACATCTGTGAAAAATAGCTTTTTAGCTCATCGGATTCCTCCAGTATAAATACACATTTGCTGGATGTAAAATTCGACTAAATACAGTTGTCAAAAGGTGTAAATACAATTAATTTAATTTGCGGTATTTCCAATCTGCGAAAAATACCGAATTGAATACAGCTCCCTGGCGTGTGCCTGTGGGTTCTTCTGGAGCTGGATAAAGAAGTTCACCGGCATGTGGAGCGAAACGGCGGACATCGTGTCGTACGCCGCAGGGTACAAACCTGAAAGATCATGGGCATAGCTGTACAGCACAGCACGGTAGTAGAATGAAACACAGCTGTACAATCAAGCTTGCGTAAGCAAATTGTTTTCGCGTTAGTGTTAGCACATTTGTTTCACTCGTACAAACACCCGGTCATTTTGTGCTGCACTATCTTTGCAAGTCGCAGAACTACTACGACGACTAACTTTAAGGGCAAATTCATGAACCAATTGACAGGGAGCCCACGTGTGTCCACACGTGGGCTCCCTGTCAATTGCAGCCTCGTGTGGAAAGGGCCTCTGAGAAGCGCCTGGGTGTCCCGAGCACCCGAGAAACACTGCGCCCATGCCCACCGCTCACCACCTCAGCGGCCCAAAAATCGCCCTCGCCAAGAAACGTTGACTTCCCTGCTTCGTCTGTTGCAGCAGTGAGCTCAACGGCGAGCTGTTATTTGGTTCCACTGCCTTTGGCTTTGATTTGGTTGTCAGATCCTTGAAACAGTTCCCATCTAATATTACACAGTTAACAAGCTATGATTTCGAGTGTTATAAATGTATAGCGATGACCAATGCTTTACGAGGTCCATAACAGAGATTTTTTTGGAGAGGCCCTCGTACATATATAAATGTGCCGTTAAAACCCGCCACCGCCCGACACAGCCAATTAGTAAGGTTTGTCGCGTAAACAGAACGTGGCCAATTCGTTGCTAGCACAGCACACCGATGTGTTGGAGAGTAAACGCACAACATTTACAATTCGAGTATGACGTTTCGCCAGTGATTACAACCAGCATCGTCAGGCTACAGCCAGAGTTGTGCTGCCGATAGAAGCTTAAACAAACAAACAAACCAGAGCTAGCATACTGCTTGCGTTGGGGTTTCACGGTTGTGCTGTTAAGCCCTCCTGATGCGTCTGCCGGTTATGCCGCGCGTTGCACGATGTCCGATGTTTCGGAAGCTATCCGGTTCCAGCACATTGGAGTGGTAAGTCGGACACATAGCCGCGCGAAGGTGGTGGTACAATCCGAGCGCTATAGAGCAATCGTAGACTCCGCAGCAACAGTCTTCAGCCGAGTGGTCTGTTTCCAATCAAAAAGGGAAACAATTATGCAATCGCATTCAGACGGGGTCAGTAGGTTTTATTTTTTGTGTGCAGGCTCCTAATAAGCGGTGCGCGTTGCTCCTATCAAGCTCCAATCGTGGGAGTTGATTCCCGTTTGCTAACGCTGAGGCGACCCTGTAACAAACGCGGATGTTTATGACCGCGCTTTTCATCTGCAAAGCAATACACTTAACCCCTCCGCCACTTGATGTCGGGTTTGTCGTTTGAATGCCACATCATGAGCTTGAGACGGGACTTTACAAGCCGACAGAGAGTGGGTCCAGGACTGCGTTTATTGCAGTTTTAAGACGAGTAAAGTGTAGCTTAATCTCCTTGATACAGTAAATACTGCGTAATTAAATTGTATTTACACGAACATTTATATTACACGATATCATTGAAAAAACATTGCTCTTTTTACTGTTGTTTCAGCATGAAGCTTGTTTTTATTTTAACTTATAATGTGCTTATCCTTCATCGTTCTCTTGCGTGCCTTCTTCCTCTGCCCTATTACTGTATTCTCTGGACTATTATTATTAGATGTATTTTATTTCGCTATATTTTAAATCAAATGTTTTATGATCAGTTAGGTTTATGTGTGCGAGAGAGAGAGAGAATTTGATCAGAATAACTTCATTGACACCGGAGGACACGTTTTGGATATACTGTGTCTTACAATTCGGAGCATCACATGATCAGGAGAATAGGGTAGTACAATTCATTATGGCAAAGAAAACGTGTCACAACAATCAATATGTGGCATTCGGTGTGGGGTATGTGTCTGTGCCCTAATGAGCAGATATTTTTCGTGTCACCAGATTAAAAAAAAATAAGAGCGCTGATATATTTTCTCAGGCTTCAATGTGATTCATCTGTGCACTCAGTGGCCCTCGGAATAAGCAAACCGATACAATCTTAGGGGCACACGCAGCTGCAGGGACGCCAGCATTCTTAAAAACACGTGCGATAAAATATCACCTCAAATGGAAATCTTCATGAATAGAAGATAATTAACATGATTAATTCGCCTATCTCTAAAATGATGAGCTCTCTCAACTCGACCTTGTCTGAATCGCTCTTCTTTCATCTCACGCCATCTCTCTTGTCTATATCTCTTCTATCTCACTGGGATCTAATTCATGAAGAGGGGGCTTCCAAAAATAATTTCTGCTTCGGGCTCGCACCGCCACTGTGTGCACAAAAGAGAAATGACTCGAATCATGCAAATTATCCATTGGGACATTTCCCAGTCACTATGCCTTTGCCGTTCCCAATTCACGGTGTGCTGTGTTTCTCCCCACTTTCCGTGCTTCTCCCTGTTGAGGCTCCTTGTCAAGGGCTACTCGGGCACGGCGGGCAAGCACAGCAGCCTGGCCCAGGGGGGCATCGACTTCAGTACCAGGGACGCGGACAACGACAACTGCCCCTGCAGATGTGCGCAGATGAGCACAGGAGGTGCGAGCGAATGGGTTAGACTCCATGGCCATTCGCGATGCCGCTGCGGTGGCGGTCGTGGTTCGCACACCGGACTCGCTACCCGGAGGTTTGCCGGTTCGGGTCGATGTCCTCGCGTTGCCGCTGAAACAATGGGGGCACGTTTCTAAAATCGCCCCTCCTTTGTCCACCCAGCGGTGTACACGGGTGCACCACGGTTAGTTTATTGGCAGGTCACGCGTGGTTGAGTAAAGTGTGGGTACTGCCACTTCTTCCAAGACGTCTGGCAAGCACGGAAGAGTAGGCCAAAATTACCCTCCAGACGAACTGTCCTGACCTCCTCCTGGTAGATGCCCTTCTGCAGGCAATGGCGTGTTCATGCAATTGCGGATCTGCACACGTGAGCGAGGTGGAGTGCCCGCATCAGCTGTGGTCGACAAGGTCCGTTGGGCAACTGAGAGTGTTTCCACCGAGTTCACATTCAAGTTGTTGGACACAGCTGACATGGGCACCAGGGAGAGCCCTGTGAGGCTCCTCTCTCAGTGCACTCGTATGAGTGCAGGTTCGTGTATAGCCTGTGGGAAGGATGGTGAGCGGCTTGTATGGGCAATGCACAGCATGCAAATATACTCCATACATGTTTTGCATGATGAAATTGAGACTACGTGGCTGAGAAATGAAGATCAAATCATGTATAAGAGAGACGATTGAAAAATTACCAGTTTTGTGTGGCATGAACCCAACGCTGCATCTTATTGTAGATATGAAGGTTGCCACTTTTGACCAAATATCATCATACGTTACGTTTATAGAGTGCCTTATCTCAAGGCACTTTACGTAATTTAACGTACGGTGATAAAAATGTAGTGCTTTAGATGGCGGGGGCATGCTTCAAAATTCGTCAGATCGCAGAAGCTAAGCGAGGTAAAAAAAACTGGCTAGGTTTGTTGATTAGTGACCAGCATGCGTAGAACAGGTGTTGCAGGCAGCTGTTGGGTATACTTTGTCAGCAGAGGGCCGTGCAGCAAAATAATAATAGCACACACTTTGCGAATGGGATGCAATGTTCGAGACCTCTTGAGGTGCAGAGCCAGGACTCAAAGTTCCTCTTGCGCCAAACCTGGAGAGGCAGACCCTTGAGCTAATTGCGTTTTATTATGAATATTATGAAGGCCTTGAGCTATTGCTTCAAGGCGGATGGTGCTTTGATGCTGCGCGTGTGCAGCATCCCGTACGGCTAGGCTCCCCACGTTTACCAACCCATGCTGACCAGCATTGTAAAGCCTGACAAATAATGCATTGACAAAAAGGAGGTGCCTGTTTCTATTTTAAATTGAAAATGCTCACAGACGAATAGATTCCAATGGTTTGTGCGCGTGTGTAAACCAATGTTTTTACTGCATTCCTAAATGGGCTAATTTACATATTTATGTGGATACAAGCCCTGTGTATTGCTCGTGATTTCTTTTTGCATTTTTTTAATATTCATCGCCGAACAAAAAGTCAAAGTGTGGGTTGACTTGAGTTCCTTGTCCCGAGGCTGGTTATTCGTATTCGTTTCCAACAATAGTTGGTCATGATTCTTTCTGGCAGCCAGATGCCACATATAATGTGTGTATGTATCGACAGGATACGCGACACTATCAATTCCCCACACACACACACACTATCTCTTTCTGTCTCTACTCAGCCAGCCTGGGAAGGAAAATAACGACAGCAAATACAGCGTAATGGGAAAACAATGCAACATGTGGATATCATGCTATTTACAAGGGATTTTCATGGTGCATTGATTCTCCAGTACTGCTGAGCTACCAGGCCCGGTCACTTAGTGATTGAGCGAGCGGCTCGCAATCGAAGGTTGAGAGTTCAAATCCTGGTTGGGGGTTGACTAAAAGTGATTGATCCCCTAAAATAGACTCTACCCCATCATAACAATGTAAAATTTTCACAACTGGCTCAGGGCCGTGTACTGTAGATCAAGCACCGCCTCAATGCTCATTTGAGTAAAAAATCACTGTGAGTTGTTTTGATTCTGAAGCTCATCGCACTGCATGTGTTTCAATTCTAATGTCGTATGTAATTGTTACACATAACCCCCCACTGAGCAACTCGAGGCCACTGCATTCATTACAATGTAAAGTAAAAAAAATAATTGATTTGTGACCCTGAATTGTAACGATCCGTTGAATTACAAGAGACAAATCATTACACTTTACTATTTGCTATTTAATTTGGTAATAGTAGATGATCGGTGACTAATAATAATATGTATATAAAATACATTTAAAAGGGTATTTTTTTAGCTTTCATTTAATTATACACACGAATGGCCATTTGGAAACAGGCGTGTATTAAGAAAATAAATGTTATGCAAAGGCCTTAACAAATAAAAACACCCATAAGAAAGTGATTACCAAGATTTAGCTACAGACGTAATTACATCGCCGTGGTTCGGGCGATAAGTAGATAATGCCGCTTAAAATTATCCCAAAGTATTTGGCATTTCAGGTTAATGAGTGAGAACAGTTCTAAACCCCATTATGTGCAATTACTGAACAAGCGTGGGTTGTTTCAGCTTCAAGTTAGAAAAATGTTATCAACATGTTTAATATGGTAATTAAAATATTAGATTAATAATACAATAATGGTAATTATTTACAACGAGCCTTTTGCCCATCCAAGATACGGGTGTATTGCGGTAAATCTGAAACTTGCAAGCGAAAATCAGACCGCGACGTGATATTCATTGCATCAATTCGTGTGCAATTTGTAAGGCAGCGGTGACACAGACCTATTTCATTTAAAGGTTATAATCCCTTGTTCATCACGACGTCCTTTTTACTTCTATGTCTCAACAGCGTTATGGAGATCACGTGACGTGAGGGTTCTGCCTTTGTAGTGAGGGTTGTCAGTTGACGCTGAGGAGGGGGGAGGAGGCGCCTCGCCCCCATGTGGAGTGACGTCACCCGCTAATTATTATTAATGTGAGGGGGGGTCCATTTGGAGTACGTCACCTTTTATGATTATTAATGAGGGGGGCTGTTCGATGTGGAGTTACGCCACCTGCTTATGATTATTAATGCGGGGGGAGGGTGCTCCATGTGGAGTGACGTCACCTGCTCATGATTATTAATGCGGGGGAGGGGGGGTCCATGTGGAGGACGTAACCTGTTCATGATTATATTTTATTAATGAGGGGGGCTGGTCGACGTGGAGTGACGTCACTAGCGTTGCACACAGACATTATTGGCTCATTATAGTAGGTAATAATAATGGGGGGTGTCCATTCGGAAGACGTCACCTGCTCATGATTATTAATGAGGGGAGCTGTTCGATGTTGAGTGATGTCACCCGCTCATGATTTTTAATGAGGAGGGGTGGGGGTGTCTATTTGGCGGACGTCACCTGCTCATGAATATTAATGAGGGGGGCTGGCCGATGTGGAGTGACGTCACGATCGTCAAGGACATTCCTGGGTGTTTAGAGTAGGATTTAATGAAGAATGTCAAATTCTGCGTAGTGAGTTAAATGTATGAATACCGTCATCATCATCAATCCACTGCTGATGAAGGCCTCCCAAAGCGACTGCCATCTCTCTCGATCGTGCGACTTAACGATCCTCGAGCACTCACACGTGAGCCGATTTAATCGCTCCATCTCCTTCATAGATGTCCTCTTTGATGTGTTCCGTTAGTGTCCCGAGGCAAAAATGAACGTGCCTTGTCACAATAAAATTACAAGCGCGTACGCATTTTTTCACGCGCAAAAGTTTGATGAAGCAAAGTCGATGAGCCGAAGTCATGTTCTGCTAAAATCATCATTGCGGCGGTGCACATCCACTGTTTACAGTCCTGAGCCACTCTGGGGAATGCCACACATTCCTATGGCAGGTGCCAGTCTATCCAGAGGACAACAGCTCTTGAGTCTCCTACAAAATAGCAATCGTTTTTATTCATCCCAGCGGAATAATGGGCTGAGTCAATCCTCAACCAGGATTTTAACTCGGCGAGCTGCTCGCTTGACCGCTGAAGCTATCTGGCCTTCTAATTAATAAACAGATTCATACATTCGTTTCAAATCGCCTTATTCAGATACTAAGTCGTCAACGCAATAGTTCACATCTGTAGGGTGTGTCATTGAACCATCAAACTAAGCTGCCATCACTCACATTGGGACATTTGCTCCCGTCTTTTGCACATTTCCCGTGTGTTCCTGTGTGTTCCTCTGTGTTCCCGCTGACAGAATCGTTAATCTTCCTGGCTCCCCAGGTTGGTGGTTTGATGCGTGTGGCCCTTCTAACCTCAATGGTCTCCACTACACCTCTGGGAGAAGAAGCCGGCGTTTGAATGGGATCAAGTGGCACTACTGGAGAGGGGGGAGCTACTCCCTCTCGCGCACCTCAATGATGATTCGTCCCATAGACTATTGATCCCACGTGGGCCACACGACCAACTGCATTCCTTAAATCATCGAATAATTGTGTGTGTTTGTATATAACGATGTGTGTTATAATGGCCCACCCTTTATTTAACCAGGAGGGTGAAAAATAAAGCTTTTCATACACATGAAACACAATTCCCTCTTTTGCAAGGATGACCTGGGTTATGTTAAGAACAATTTAAGAACACCGTTTTTAATTTGAATATAATAAAGGTTATATTACGTTTTATGATAAATTCATAAACTACAAAATGAATAAAGCCCATTATAATAAAGTTGCTCACGGTACAAAAATACTCAGGCTCATGCTTATTTATTTTAATCAGCGATGGTCAATCCACTGCTGGATAAAGGACTCCCCAAACGGTCTTTTTACATATATATGTTATATATGCAATAATCAATCTAACACCTACACACTAGCTGATTTTATCGCTCCATCTCTTCAGAGGACACCCTCACATGTACGTTTAATTCCTTGGCTGCCACTCTGGTGTTGCAATGTGTAATCCAAATTGAGTAATTTGCAGGTAAGTTTTCAGCATTGGGACGTTTGACCAATGGCAGTTGCATCGTAGGATAATTTTTTGTTAGATGTGCGAAAAAAGTGGAGAACCCATAGGAATCACATGCAGAACAGAGGGAGAACATGTGTCTATTATGTTGAACTTCTTTCGTACCCTGCGTCGCCAACTGTGATAATCGGACGTGCGGGGGGAGGAGGAAGGACAACAAGCTGAACAGACACTCCACGCAGAAAGGCGCCCAAGCCGGGAATCAAACCCAGACATCACGCTGCCACAAATGATATACTGTACATATATATTTTAAGTGCATCCCTCGATTTTGGTAAAGTACTCTTGTCGCTCTGTACATTGTAATGTAAAGATTTAGATATTTATTTAAAAAAAATCTGACATTTTCACCGTATGCCTCGTAGGTTTTAACGACTTGCCTCATATATTTATTAATGTAATATTTGTATAATAGATTCCTCATCCATATTCTTTGGGTCTTTCAGTAAAGTCACTTAGATAGGTTGAAAGAAAATAACAAAAACTACGACGTTTCGACCGCTTGTGTTGCGATCGAAACGTAGTTTTTTGTTATTTTCTTTGAACTTATCTACGTGACTTTACTGAACGACTCAAGTAATATGAATTCCTGCAATCACGAAAGATTTAAGTCATTCTTCATCCAGTTAGACCAAATGACTTCTGTGACCAATGTGGTGTAGGATTTTATTAAACGAGAGTCTTAGAACATTTATACAGGAGCTGTTCAAATTAGGTACTGGAAGAAGACATGAACACTAATGGGAAAAAAATCCTTAATTGAACACTGCATATAATCGTGAGTTTATTTCATCTGAAAATTCCATTTATTGCAATGTGTTGTTTTGAACACATTTGTAGAGGGTGACGGTTGATTGTATTTGCTTTGCTATCTAAAATCTGAGCATTTCTATTATTTGTATAGGAACAAAGTTCATGCATTACCGCGTTAATCATCTGCTGTCGTAGATGCCCGAAGGCTTTTCAGAGTTGCCAGTAAAAACAACACTACCACGGTTTGAGTTATTACATCACCGAGTTAGATTGAAGGCGAGATCTCTTAAACAAGGGAGACCTTACCATTTCACCAACGGTGAATTATTTTCAGTAATAATGCCACAGCAGTTTGCTACCTGATTGGCTCTTTGGTCATTCGCTGGCAGCAGCGCAATTACTTGAGATGTATGACCCCCATTTTATTTCCGGTGAATTCTGTAACAAGTGCAAATGGATGTGCTCAGCAGTGTTCGGACGGCGAGATTTCCTACCTGAGGTTACTCAGCGCAAATAACCCTGAGAGAACTGTGCCTGTACAGAAATATTACAGCTAATATAACGAAGGTCATTTAATAATACAATGTTTTTTTTTACCATGCACGACATTATATTCTTGGTTCTTTCAGTAAAGTAACGTAGAAGGGAAAGAAAATAATAATAAAAATATAAAACAATTAAATTCTCACGACATTTCGACTGTAACACAAGCAATCATTATCAGGTGTGAAAACCACAACAAGTAAATTTGAAAAAAGTGGCGTTTTTTCTAACGTTAGAACCACGGAGAGCGATTTGGCAGTTATTCAGGTGGACGAGTCCATCCATGTTCGGAAAAGGGGAGGGGGGAGACGAAAATAATGGATGCGGTCTGAAAGCCACCGTAAGCGTGAAGAATAAATTAAGACCCGAAATGGTTTATCAAATCCCTCCAATGATTTCTAAGCCAGAATCCATCTTCTCGGTTGAAATTGTCTCTGTGTTTGTATATGTGGATAGCCTCATGAACGAATCTTTCATGGTAGCCAGATGGCTTGCAAAGAACCTCTGTCTTGGAGAAGTCAATGTCATGTGAGCCTACTGAATTATAACAGTGATCTGCCACAGCCGAGGTGTTGGTCCTACCGTGTTTTAGGTCTGCTTTGTGTTCACGAATGCGGTCCGAGACATGTCGTTTGCTTTCTCCAATGTAACTACTACCACAGAGGCAACTTAGTTTGTAGACACCAGGGTACTGTATGTCAGGAATCACATCTTTTACAGACGGAACCAAATCACGGATTTTATGTAATGTGTTGAATCGGACCTGGATCTTGTGTTTATTCAAGATTTTGGAGATCTTTTTTGTGATCCTCGCAATGTAGGGTAAAGTGATGGAATTGAAATGCTCCTCAAGAGGGTCCTTCTTCATGGTTGGAGTGATAGCTTTGCGGATTGTGTAGTCGGAGTAACCATTAGTCTTAAGAGCTTGGTGTACGTGCTTGAGTTCACTGGCTATGTGTTCCTGGTTGGATATGCATTGTGCTCTATGGTGCAAAGTCTTGAGCCCAATGGATATCCGACCAGGAATATATAGCCGGGCAGGTAGCGACGTCGGATATCTTGGTGCCTGGGCACTTAGAGTGTGTGTGGACTGACTCTGGTGGCTAAGCGCCAGCCGCGGACCATGCCTCGAGCAGCAATAGTAAGGGTAGGAGAGCCGGAGGGCAGTAACCCTCCCCCGAGTACGGGAGAGGAGAGCCTCGGATCTCAAGGGAGTGGGTAGACAGAGGGCAGCATCCCCGATATATCCACATATACAAATAGAGACAATTTCAACCGAGAAGATGGATTCTGGCTTAGCAATCATTGGAAGGATTTGATAAACCATTTCGGGTCTTAATTTATTCTTCACGCTCACGGTGGCTATCAGACCGCATCCATTATTTTCGTCTCCCCCCTCCTCTTTTCCGAACATAGATGGACTCGTCCATCTGAATCACTGTCAAATCGCTCTCCGTGGTGCGAACGTTAAAAAAAAACCGCCACTTTTTAATTTTTTTCTTGCTGTGGTTTTCACACCTGATGATGATTGCTTGTGTTGCAGTCGAAACGTCGTGAAAATTTTGTTTTATATTTTTATTATTTTACTGTTTCCCTTCTACGTGACTTTACCGAAAGAACCAAGAATATGAATCCCTGCAGTCACGAAAGCTTTAAATCAATATGCACAACGTTGTGCAGCCACGTAATGGAAAAATCGTTGCGAATTTTTGAGTATTGTTTACGTGAACACGCATTATAACTTTATTTTGGTCGCTTTTCACGTATTCCATTGTAAGTTTGACACTTTTCATTTGTTTTATCCATTACAAATATTAAACTAGATAATTCCTTGGGATAGAACGTTTAATTTGCAAGGGTGTCCCAGGGTGTTGGGACGAATGCATATTGCAAAGATGCAATGACGCGTATATACATGCATTTTAAAATCTACGTGTACGGTATAGGTTTATGTAATGTCATCACACATTTACACTCCACCAAGTACAGGATTCAGTAAGCCAAGGCAGTGGGCATGAACACGATACTGCAATAAATTACATTAAGCAGGGCAGACTGCCTCTTCATATAAAAAGTTCTGTAGCAAGCGTGATTTGAATGAGTTAAGATTACCGATATGTACATATATACCTTATTTCACCAGAAGATGAAATACAACCACTGAGACACGTGGTGCATTGCTAGTTTTCCAAAAGTCAACCTCGATTCAATGTACAGTTTCATCATAGTCGATTGTTTAATAGCTAATAAAAAAAACGTGGCTTTATTCAATCCATACGATGAAAAGCATTGTGATTTGCTGTAGCATTGCTAGCGATTAAACACACGAGTCACATCAACGAAGCGCGTTCCCTTTAAAATGCATTTGGCAAGCCCTTCTCTCACTGTCTGAAGCAAAGGTCACCGCCAGTGAACGGATTCCCACAGGTTGCGTCTGCATGCCCTGACGTGCGGCCAGGCAAGGCAAAGTGGCGGGTCGAAGTGTCTGGATACGCCTGTTGGTTTGTGTTCTTGTCACTCACCTCGTGAATTCCAAAGGGTTTTTTTTGTTTTACTACTGAATCGACTCGGACTTGCGTAGCGCTACGGGAGGAAGGTTTAATTGGTGTTTTATTGGTTGGAACGTGGCCACCGTAGGGTTTACGGCATGAATTACAATTTTAAAAAAGGCCATTGAGTGCCGTTGCTATAATCTGTGTTATTATGACCGGGCGTGTTGGCATACGTCCGGCAGCCCGTGTATTCAAAGTGAGGGTCAGTAGGTCACATTAGTCGATGAAACTGATACACCCATTGGGCTGGGAGTTGGCCAGGAGATGGCAGCACAGCCAATAGATTCCTGAATCCACCGTTGTAGACATTTGTTCGTCCTCGTATGCTTGGGCTTTCTCTGGGCACTTCGGTCTCTTCCCACATGCAAAGCACGCTTTTAAAGGAATTGACGAAATGTCCCGATGGCATTATTAGCACGGACACATAGATTTGTTTAAATTGTCTATATTGTAGTTATAAAGCGAGGCATCATCTGTGTAAACTTGATAGCTGACCTTCAGCCTCCCCTCTTTTGCGCTGGTTGACAAATGAAATATACAGTTACTGAAAACCATCGAGCCATATAAAGGATAGAGAGCCCCCATCTCACAAATGAACAACAGAAAATATGAAATGTTCCGATAAGTCAGTGAGCCACCATAAACTGAGCATTTTTGTCTGCCTCTTTTGTCGTCACGTCTGCTAAAGTTTGATGAGCCAATACTGCACTTGAAAGGTAAACTTTAATGAAAAGCAATGTGTGTGTTCTTTTAAATAAATCACTTTCATCACAGTCAACATGAAATATTATTAACTCGATACCATTTAGAAGCACTTTTGCCGTGAAACTGGCTAATGTTGCAGTGCCATCTTCTGTCCGTTTGGTGGCAACG